ACCCACCACCTTTTGATGATCGAAGGTATGCTTTTCTGGAAGGCGACCATAACAAGATTACGCTCTTGTTTAAATGTAAACAGTTGTACAATATATCCTGCTTATGCTTGAGATCTCCTGCGCTGGGGTAAATATGATGGCTAAAATCTCAAAAAATAGTTTGGGATTGAGCAGGGCTTTGGGAAAGAGGGCATTAGCCGCTCTTCTGTTTCCCTCCTTTTTATGTGACTAGTAGAATATTGGGAGCCGGTTTGGTGTAGTGGTTAAGGCATCAGGTTAGAAACCAGGAGATTGTGAGTTCTAGTCCCACCTTAGGCACAAAGCCAGCTGGGTGACCTTGGGCCAGTCCCTTTTTCTCAGCCCTAGGAAGAAGGCAAGGGCAAGACACTTCTGGAAAACCTGGCCAAGAAAATTGCAGGGACTTGTCCAGGCAATTGCCAAGTGTCAACACTGATTCAAGGCACCCCCCACAAATATAGAATAATAATGATTTATAGGACATTTTAAAAGCTATGCATGAACCTGGAGGTTTGCACATCAATTTTAATCATGCAGAATAGCTACAGTTATATTGATTCAGTATAAAGAAATCTTGACATACTTTCCAGTTTGGATTTAGCCTTGGATCCAGTTTAACCATCAGAAGCATCCTGTGATTGTATCATAAATAATTTTTACAACTTGGTTTTGCATTCCTAGAACTGGTTTATGGATGCAAAATACATCCCAAAATACAGAGTTTCTAACAGAAGAAAGAAAGAAAAATCACACTGGGAAAGGGGGAAGCATTGTTGAGACTCCATGTAGGAAGTGACGGCTGTATTTTCCATGGCTGGAAAAATGGATGCAAGAGAAATATTCGGACCTCTTCCTGCAGTATAAAATAATTCAGCTCTTTAAAATTTTGGTGTACAACTTGTTTGAGCACACGCGCGCACACCCACACACAAAGCAGTAGATGCAACTTTTTTTTAATTCAGGTTTGCACACTCTTGATTTGTGAGATCAGTTATGTTTGTCCACTAACATTTTTTGTTGTTGTTCTGCAGAGGTCCAGCTATGAAAGCGCTAAATGCAACAGGGCAGGAAAATATTGATCTTGATTCCCTCTTTAAGGCAAGTTACCTAGTTTAAATCATGCTCGTTTTTCTGTTGTTTTCTTTACTCTCCTTCCTACGCCACATCAATCAAACCAACTCTAAGGGGCTTACAAGTTACACAAAGTAAAATAACAAAACACGATACCAACAATGTAATATAACATTGACACACCCCTTTTTAAATAAACAACTACAACAGTTCTTTCTGTGAGACTGCCATCTAAGTAGTTTCTGGTTGGATCTTTTATCAGCACCCCAATACCATAAAATAAAAAAGTATTTTAAAAGTTGGTGGTATCTCAGCCAGGACCATATCCTAAGATGGGTAAGTAGCAAAGGATGGTGAATCCTCTTTGGAGGCACAACTTAGTGGGTACTCAGGATTCTCCAAACTGCCTTTCAAATATTTTAGTTGCCCAGGTTTGGGAGAAAGAGATTTGTAATCCAAAACATCTCTGGAGGGTGCTGGATTAGGAGACATCTGGATAGTTGGCATATCACAGCTGGCTGGTTTAAGCTTTCTGACCATGGGTTCTGCTCAGAAGGAATCTGGTTCCACTCCATGGGCACCCGAAGGGCAGTGGCAACAGGCAAATTTGTGCAAACTCTGGCTTTTTCATACTTGCATTGTGATATCATATACAAAAGGGGGGGCTTGCATTATGACATCATGATGAGCAATTAATCATCACGGCATTGTTGTGCTTTGTGCCAGATACCTCAATTCAATAGAGAGAGAGAGGGACAGACAGACTGACAGACTTTATTAGAAAGGTCGGAGGTCAATGTTATGACCTCCATTTTTTCCCTCTTCTAACCTGCATGCATATCTATGAAGGAAGGTACCCATTGCACAAGATAAAAGTCCAATAATAATGCAGTGGCAGCATTTCTGTTCATAAAAATACAATTCCCCATATCTGAAAGACAAATAAAAATATCAATTTTTATTTTTATGTTAGAATTATAACCTGCTTAAGCATATTTACAGATCAAGCTTTCAAGTTTCTATGTATAAAAAGGCATCTTAGGACCAGACAAACACAAAATAACCAACTAGAAATCTTAATACATGGTACACCTTCAATTCACAATATCATTAAATGTGGAAATAACATGTTCCTGCAAGGCATGACGGTATTAATACCCTAATGCATCTTTTCTTGGTTTGAATTTTCACACTCAGCTTGGATTTTGAGGTTTGAAAATATTTTGCACATATGTAGTCTTGAAATGGGCAGGAAGACTTCGAAATGACCCATTTGTGGTCAGACCACTTCTGGCACACTTGGAATGGCCTTGTATTTTTGAGTTGAGGACACAATGTTCCAAGGTTGGAACACTTCATCAGGGCATATTTTGCACTTCTCTAGGCTAAACCACGATGATTTCTAGTAGTGTTCTGGGGATCGTGGCGATCCCAGTGTAGGATCATCTTGATGCATTGGCTAAATTGGTTGGGCTTCTGGGAACTGAAGTGCAACACATTTGTAGAGCTTCAGTAGGGAGAAAATTGCCCTAGGTTTCTCTGTAGCTGTACTTGTTAGCCTTGGCTTAACATATATTTGGACCCTGCTGATATTCACTGTTCAAAATGCTGCATAAGTTTGAATGCATGACCACCTTGTCCTTCATTGTTTTCAGGTGTTATCAGTAGCACCTGTATTAAACAGGTAAGTTTTTTAAAATTAAAATCCATTCATTTTGGATTTCACACAATCTTTTAGGAAAGGATCACTGACCAATAGTTATGTGCAAAACACTCTATGCACAAACTGTTCGGTGCATGAACAGTTGGCTTTGGATGGTTCACAACTGAACCAACACATGCACATTTCAGGTAGTTTCAGGACTGTTTTGGTCTGGGCAGAGATGATTCAGGGCAGGACATAAAGAAGTCAAGGACATCACAGCTGAAGAAAGGGAAGAATTAGGGAGCTGATATTGTGCTTTGAGATTGGTAGCAGCAGTGACTAAAGAGAGGAAAGGAAGGTGCTGTGAAGATTGGAAGGTGTATGGACTGGTGGAATGTGCTTAAGCAGTGGCAGCTGAGGGGAAGTAGGGAAGATGCTTTTAAGCCTCTGCAGCTGGGCAAGATCAATGAAAGAAGAACTCCACAGATTTTGGTAAGGTGTCTTTAATGCTAATTGGGGTTAATACAGAATCTTGGAATTTCCCAGCCTCATTTATAGTGTTAATTAAGACACAGTCTCTTTGTGTGATCTGAAAGTCTTCTCTTCACCTGGGCTCCACTGCTGTTTATGAGATGACTGACTTATCTGTCTCTTGATCATTCATGTTTAGTCTCTCTCACTCCTTTCCTAGCCTCCCCATAATGTCTCATGTTTGGGAGGAGGGTTAGTGGAAGAGGCCAAACTGGGAGCTCCAGAGGGAAGAGGATCCAGATTTCAGTTCTAGGAAACCATCACTAATCCAAAAAAGTCTTGGGAGAACTTCCAGAATGTGGTAGTTTGTTCCAGGTTCAAAACAAAGCATTTTATTTGTGGTTTGTTTGCTATATTTTTTCACCACCATATTTCTCAAGGACTCCTAGTGGCATGCAGTTTTGTGTATGACCCTGCAAAGTAACATTTCAGTGAGTACTATTAGCAGGTAGCAATGCCAGGAGACAACTCTTGATTTCATTCCCCACCTGTAGGAATCCCTGAAACTTCTGGTTGGCCTTTGTGAAAAATGGGATTCAGCTGAGTTCACACATCATGCAGAGGCTGAATTTGGTTGGTTTCTTTGGCTCAATGTGATTTATGAAATCAGGTTTATTGTCCAAATAACTGTCATGCAAACACAGCCACTGTGATAAATCTAATTTTTATTCTGTTCCACTTGGGTTGGACTGAGAATTGGATCTGCTCCTGGTCTTCATTTTTGTTTTGTGTGTGTGTTTTTACCAGTTTCACCATCTATACCACTGTGATGAGTAACGCAGATCCAGGATCATACAAGACTTTGATCAGGATACTGGAATGAAAATGGGTAAGTCCTGAGTATAGTTATTGCAGATTGCCATTTGTAGGGGCAGCTGACCCTTCAAAGTTTCATTCCAATTCTACTCTTCATGTCTTCTAAAAATGTTATTTAAAACCTTCATCCTCATTTCTTTGTTTCCATAAAACAACCCCAGTGAAGGAAAAGAGACCCATTGGCAGACTCTTTATGTATAACTTTCCTGTGGCTTGAGAAGTAAGCGTGAAGAGATTAAATCTCAATGTGCGAATCTTGCCATTCATTTGGTTTCATTTGGGTGTGAAATGTGAACCCTGTCAAGTCAACTGCAGTTCTTGCAAATTCTTGGAGCTTACATTCCACCACACTCAGTGGGGAACTGAGTGTTGATATGAGGTCTAGCCCTGATTCACACAGAGTTTTGCTGCTGTCTATTGATGGGTACCCATTGTCCATCTTGGTTGATAATTTGGAACATTATAGTACAATTCACTTTTTCAGGCATATGTAGCCAGTTGGTCATCTCTATTCACATGGCTTGGCCTCCTGCAACATCAAAGATTATGATAATTGGAAGACTTTGCCCATCTGTCCTTTCAGTATCTCTAGGGCAAATACAGTTCCCAGCAAACCCAGCTAGTATGGTTAGCAATCTGAGATGCCAGGATTGAACCCCATATGGAGTGTAATATTTTCTCACAGCCAGGTGACTGTCTAGGCCAGTGTTTCTTAATCTTGGGAACTTTAAGATGTGCGGACTTCAACTCCCAGAATTCCCCACCCAGTATGGCTGGCTGGGGAATTCTGGGAGTTGAAGCCTGTACATCTTACATTTACTAAGGCTGAGAAACACTGGTCTAGACCATGCAGTCATTTAGGTGCAATTAAATAAAGCTTATTTATTTTGTCCAACAAATTCAGTTGGGCAGCACTTTAAAAAACCTACTGCATGTGCAACTGAGAATCAATCATAAATTCTGAATAACAATTCAAGGGAGCTTTTTAAGGTTGCAAATTTTCAATGGGTGTGAGATACCCCCGTGGAATTCTTTTGTAGATTTTGTGGGGTCTATTTGATAGCAGGCTTTATTTTCATTTACCAAATAAAACTATATTTTGAATTCAACGTACTTCAATAAACTACTTCTATGTAAGCCACGAAGAGACTTTTTTGGAATTGCAGGGGGTAGCATGATATCAAGTAAATAAATAAAAATTAGATAGAGAAGGGGCATACAGTCAGTAAGTGGCATTGCTGAGTTTTGCAATTAACCTTCAAATGTTTTTAAAATATTGATTCTCTCCTTTTTTTTTCCTCTCCCTTTTCTCTCTCTAAAACCAGAAAATGAAGGAATGCAGGTCTTCGAAAACACAAAGGCAAGGGCTGTGTTTATGAAATATAGATGCAAAGTACAAGCCAATGTATAGACTTCTCTTCAGAATCGCCATCTTCAAAAGAAAAAGAAAGGAAATTACTTCCTTAAGGCTTAGTGTCTGGGCAACAGATATTGAAATAATAGACATGGATTAAGACTCAATTCCCCAGTCTTAGGAGGCAATATCTTTACCCTTTCTTTTATTGATTAAACATATTATATGGTGCTGTTTTACCCCATTTGTACAAAAATCAGCTTTCCCTTTTGCTGTATGACTTTACCATGCCTTGACTAGATACATTCTGACTTGATATTCCATGGGAAAATGCATTGAAACCATAAGATACAATTCTGGATCTCATCAGGACTTGAATGGACTACTTTGGATCAATATATCCACAGGCCAACAGCAAGGTATACATGCAAATATAGCTCCTATCTGTATGGCAAACTCTAGAAAAAATTAGTTTGAACATCTGTTAATTTCCAAGATAGACAAAGAGCTCTCTGAATTCGCTGCTTTGCAGAAGTACCTTAAAAATAGGAGACAGACAAATGCTGTCTTTGCATGGCCTTTTCTTCTAGAGGAAGGGGGTGAGCCAATGGCACTTCTGTAGCCCTCCCTTTTTCAGGTGTCAACTATATACATAATCCTTCATAAATGCACTTCCCATTTCCTGTAAAATAAATAGGATTCTAAAAAATCATTTAAAAGTTAATTAACATTTTATAATCCTTTCTGATTAATAGTTTCAGTGTTGCAAAAGCATTAGGATTTATACTTTGAAATGTCCTTAATCTTTAAATGAAAGCTTCAGGCCATATTATAAAATTTTAAAATCCTTTTTGACTAATAGTTTCAGTGTTGCAAAAGCACTAGGATTTCTACTTTGAAATGTCCTTAATCTTAAAAAAGCCACTTTTTCCTTTTTCTTTTGTTGTGAAATGTCGTCACGAGCATCTAATGATAGGGCTGAAAATAAATTGACTTGGAAAAAGACAGCATCCTGCTTGTTTCTGTCTCTCTCCCTCTCTCTCTGGAGAAGGCTCTGATGCTGGGAAAGGTGGAAGGAAAGAGAAGAGGACGATCAGCAAGATGTGCCAGTGTGGGTATTGGTTAAAGTTTTGGGCGAAGAGGGAAAGACACACGTTTTAATCCACCCTCAGACACGGAAGCTCACTGGGTGACTTAGAATCAGCCACTTTCAGACCAGCTTACTTCTGGGAAAAAATAGGAAGAAAAAGCCATTACATATGCCATTTTGAACCCCTGTGCAAAAGATGGACTACCAATCAAATAAATAAATTTCTGTATTGTGGCCAAGAAATAAATAAATAAATTGCCGTATTGTGTCCACGTATTCTCCAGGAGGCAAGCTTGCTAAGGGGATCTTCACCTTTGCCTACTCAAACTAAGGTTCCAAGTTCTTAATCTTATCATCCAAAAATACCATCGAGCGTTCCTATAAGTAGAATGGCAGCATATAAATAATAACTTACTGACGTCTGCGCAAAGTTGATAATGATTTTGAAGACCACAATTGCCCACTGTTTTTGTCCAATGCTCCACATCTTCTGCCTTTTCAGTCCACCAGATATATTTAGAGCTTCAAGGATGTTTGCCAGACGTGTTTAGAGCTTCAAGGAATTTTGAGAATTCATAAAGAATTTTGCAAAGGAGAAAGGAAAAATGGAATTTGTTTCCAAGCAACTGTATTTAGACAGAGCACAGCAGATATGTGGTTCAGTCTAAGAGGATAAATTTATTGCATCTGAACCCTCATAAGCTTTCTTGAATTAATAGCAGCTGTTATAAATGCAGAAGGACAGCAGGAAATCCACACTGAAGTTGAATTGACACCCTCTCAGGATCTCAAAGCCTAACACAGCTTTCCCAGAAGCAGTCTTCAGGAATAATAAGGTAGATTATTCTTTATCCTTTATCCATGTCTCTGTTTGTACAGCTGTTGTTAGAATATCTTCCTTGTAGCTTGATCTAAACAAACCATACAGGGAAGAAGTTACCATTTGCTTTGAGTCAAGCTTGTCAAAGGAGACATCACCTTCTACCCTACATTTATTTGATTTAAATGAAGCCAAATCAGGTGAAAACTTGATTATTTTAACTCCTGTTTATCAGATCTCCTTTGCCCTAGTCTAATAAAGTCTGTAATGTTCAAGTTGACTGAACAGCTGTCTAGCAGGACCCCAAGCCTTCCAACTACAAGAGTAAGAGATGAGAAGTTCAGGGACAGGAATACCAAGAAGGATGAGGAGATCTAAATTTCAACTGGATTTGGAGATTAGTTTTGCCATCACATCTTCAGAAGCCTGTTCCAACCACAGACGTTTCTTTGGGGCAAAACTGAGGCTCATTCCTAACTTACCATCCATAGGATTCTATAACAAGTTAGGATAATGTCAAAATGACAGCATGTGTGTCGTGACATCCTTGTACAAATGACAAAATAATGTGCATGCTTCCTTACATCAGCCTTGACCCTCCTGCTGATGTACGTGCTACCATCTAGATTGCTTCTCAACCTCAGCAACTTTAAGATGTGTGGACTTCAACTCTCAGAATTTCCCAGCCAGTTGAAGTCCACACATCTTAAAGTTGCTGAGGTTGAGAACCAGTGATCTAGATGTGGACGACGACAATGATGATGATGATCTAACAAAGCCCACAACTTTATATATCAGTCTTCTCCATCTTCATATGCTCCATATGTTTGTATTCTTGTTCTATTGAGGGGGTTATTCAAACCTCAGTTAAGAAGATTAAGAGTGTATGCAGGCGAAGATATATAAGCAACGCAGAAGTTTGACAATCAAACTTCAGTGCAAAATGCGGTTGCTAGAATGTTTAAATGTGCTCGAGTCACTGTGCTCCTATGTTAAATTTCCCAGCTATGCTCCAGCTGTCAAGCTCCTGGGTTTGCATGTCTGCTTGCAACCAAAACATTTGGCCCCTTTTCATTCTGCAAGTCTCCGCATCTAGAGAGTTTCTCCTATATTAAAGAAACTGGCAAACTATGTAGTCCTAGGATGAATTCCTGGAACTGGCATGGTGTATAATCCTCAGAGAATAAATAATAGAATGAATAAATAAAATGGCATTTTTAGAATTCTCCCGTGGTGGCAAAAGGTACCCTCCCCCATTCACATGTGAAGGGCATGCACTACCAAACCTATGACGACCCCCCCCCCCACCCTATACATGTGAACTGCTTAAAGGGCCCTCGTAAGAAAACACAGCAAGCTGAATTGACTCTGAGGGGCAACGGGGAGGAGTCAGACAGGGACCAGTGGCCTGGTAAAGCAAAGTGTTTATATTCACTGGCCATATCTCCAAGACCTAATAGGAAGGGATAAATAATAAGAAGGTCACCCAAATGGGTTTATCAAAAACATTCCAGTGTCATGCTGTGATTTCCACTGTATCTGCCTTTGTCTTGCCTTTGCAATGTAGTGGGCCAGAGGTATATAAGCTCTGGTTCTGCATTTGCTCAGGGCTGTTCAGCAAGTTGCCAATGCTTTGCTAGGAGTCCGGGTTACACTGTTGTTTGCATGCTTAATAAATTTATGTTGGATCTTCAAAGTGATTTGGTTGTTTTAGGTGAGCCAGGTTCTGGCTACAATACTTCCTATGGCTTTCCCTCAACCTAGAGGTCTCTAGTTTTGTTGACATGAGCCATCCTGACTTAGAATTTTGTGAATTTCAGCCCCAATACATGGGCAAGCACCAGGATCCATTGCCAGTTTTTTTTGATAAAAATATAAGCTTATCTATGTGATTAATATGTGTTTCTAATACACATTAATCTAATTGCCCAAATCTTTGAAGGAATTAAAGGAAGATACAAGAAAGTATAAACCGGTCAGATTATTTTACATTCTGAGTAAATGTAGAAGTTTACTAACAGTGATCTGGAGTTAGATGACCAAATGGGAATCTGAACTAGCAGTGACCGAACAGCGAAGACATATCTTGGAGTCATGGTGGACAATCCAGTGAAAATGTCAACCAAGTGTTTAGCTGCTGTTTAAAAAAGAAGGCAAATTACAAGCTTGGGATCGTTAGGAAGAGAATTGGATGTAAAATTAACAATATAGGAAATGCCCTTATATAAACTTATGGGGGAGAGCAAACTTGGAGAACCATGTATTGTTTTGGTCACCACATGTGAAAAGGAGTATTGTAGAGGGAGAAAAAGTGCAAAGAAAGGTTTTCAAAATGACTAAGGGCTTAGATCAATACCCCTCTGAAGAAAGACTATATTGTTTTTTGTTGTTGTTTTTTACCTTGGAGTAAAATTGGGTAAAGGGGGATAGGACAGAGGTATATAAAATCAAACATGACATGGAAAATGTAGCTGGAGGGACACACTGTCCTCCTTTCAAGGCTGGAACCTAGGATCATTGCTGCCTCTAAATGGAGATTCCAAACCAAAAAAAGAAAGCCCATCTTCATATAATGCATAGATGAACTGCCATTCCTTGGGTAATGGCCACCAGTCCAGACCATTTTAAAGGGCACTGGCCAAATTCATTGACTTGCAGGCTCCATGTGGCTCTGATGACAGTTTGCTATCTCCAAAATCATGACTGGCATGCCTATTGGGGAGCAACAGTGGAGATGATCTACTGTCTTCCTACCCATGTTTGAGAACTCCCCAAAAGCATCTAGCTGGCTCATGTGTAACATAAAATGCTGGCTTAGATACATCCTTGACCTGTTCCATTAGGGTTGTTCTTACGTTCTTCTGTCAGAACTTCAGAATGGTACCTTTCTCCTGTCTAAGATTCTGGCCAATGAGAGCCAAGAATATTTCCTGTTTCCCCTCCAGCTTGTCCCATTGGGTGATTTAAGACAATGGGGAAGCTCACTACAAATCAGATTGCTTGGTCTGTTTTAGAAGCCTGGCTTCTAGGAAGCCCTAGAATGTCATTGTGTACCGGTTAAATCTATGTGGTTACAAAGTATGGAAAAAAGGCAATTCAACAAGGATGGAGGTTCAGAGAAAATGTACAGTAAAGATCCAGGTTCAGACAAAAGAACCCCTAGAGAATTTGGTATGGAGAAAAAAGGCAACAACTCTTACCTGGGTGAGTACACAGGCATGTTGCAACTGCCAAAATGGCTGCGAGTGATTCAAATCCATACATTCTGACTTTATTTGTTATAAAGTAATGGATTATTGAGACCCAGTTTGGTGTAGTGGCTAAGGCATCAGTCTAGAAACTGGGAGACTGTGCGTTCTAGATCCACCTGACACAAAGCCAGCTGGATGACTTTGGGCCACTCCCTCTCTCTCAGCCCTAGGAAGGAAGCAATGGAAACCACTTCTGAAAACCTTGCCAAGAAAACTGCAGGGACTTGTCCAGCCAGTCTCTAAGAACTGGACAAGATTGAACAGCTTGAAAGAATTATAATCACTAAAAATATGATCCGGGTTCCAAAAATTATTGACTTGGTGTACCGAACACCTTTATCCTTCCTAGATTTGTTCTCCCTGAAGTACATAGTGGACTTTAGAGGGAGACCCAAAGATTTTTTTCATTTCCTCTGTGACAGAGAGGTACGGCTGTCCAAAATCACTATCTCTGTGGTGGACAGGTGTGAGTGGCCTGCCATTTTAATCACAACTGTGCACTACTGTTGTGCCCTAACACGGACATTTCAGTTGGTGGACTCCTTCCATGGTTCAATCACTGTACCACCTTGTAGCACTAGGGCAGTGTTGTCCAAACTTGGCCACTTTAAGATGAGTGGACTTCAACTCCCAGAATTCCCCAGCCAGCCATGCTGG